CTACGTGCTCTCCCAGTGGTGCTCTCAATCCAGTCGGAGTGTGTTGAGTGCTGTGATTGGTGTTATTGTATGTGTGTGTGTGTATGTGTGTGTGTGTGTGTGTGTGTGTGTGTGTGTGTGTGTGTGTGCTCAGAGACACTCCCTCTCCTTTAAGCAGGGCAGGTCTTTCTGTGCGTCTGTCACTCACTTTCCCCCTCACTCACTCTTTTTTTCCTCCTCTTTTTACTTCCCCTCTTAATGTCTGCTTGTTTCCTCCTCCTCCTCCTCCTCCTTTCTTCTTCTTCTACTTCGTCTCTCCTCCCACAGGGGTTGTGTGCATTCCTGCCAGGAGGGGCGGAGGTGTCTGTGATCCGGGGCTCGATAAGGACCAGGCCTCCCCTTCCCCTCCCCTCGTGTTCACCCTCACCCCCTCCCTGGGAAAATGGGTGCACCCTCCTCCCTGGCAGGGCACCAGCTCCCCCTTTGAGTGCGCTGCCAGCCATGGCAGCAGAGACTTAACATGATTTGTTTGTCTGCTGCTGCGTGTTTGCACCAAACCCCCTAGCGCCAACCCCCATCTACTGCGCTGGACATCTAGAGGAGAGGTCTGGTTAGCGGGTACAGATCTGAAGTCAGGAGGCAGTTGGGGGGCAGTGAGAGGAGGGTTAAAGGGGTGTTAAAGAGGGTGAGGCCGGGGTAGAAATCGGGTTAAAATGAGTTTGGAATATAAACCACAGGCGGGGAGCATCCAAACTTTTAAAAAATGGCGGCTGAAGGCTGGATTAGACACACATGTACATCAAATCACTCAGTTTGCATTTCCAAAGGCTGGTTTTCTTCCCATTCTTTCCCCTTCTCTCGTAATTGGCTCGCTTCTCGGTGCAGTGGCCGACAGCAGGCGCAGCAGCGGCCCGGCCCAGTCGGCCCATTGATCTTTCATCAGCCCATAGAGTTAAAGTTGAAGGCATGAGGGGAGAGGCTGGAGAGAGGCGGCCCACTCCTTTTTTATGGCAGCCCGCTGGAGCCTGCCGAGGATTGTTCCCTGCTTCCTCAGATTGTTTTTCATTTAGCCAGGGTGCAGCGCTGTGCCGCTCTGAGGAGGTGAGGTGAAGTGTCGCAGACATTTAGAGGAGCACGTAACTGCTACAGTCTGGGTAGGTGGATACAATGGTATAGCAGGGCTTGTTTGCTGATAACATTTTAGTTTTGGTGTATGAAAGCGTGTGTGTTTGCGGTTTCGGACTGTTTTTTTTTTTTTTTTGTCTATATCTACAGTATATTTCTCCCTATTCCAAAGCAGGGATTAAGTGACAAATAGACCCAAGATTAGGAGGGTTTCATTACGAGCAGAACTTCAACTGTGCTAACTGTTCTTGTAAAAATTCACTTCAGTTAATAAAGAGAGTTTCTGGGCGTTAATAAACTTACATAAAGGATCATCAGCGTACAAAGTTGGCTTTTTTGAAAGCGTGTGTTTAATGTTTTTGAGTGTATCTCTATTTTCATTCAGTTGCATCTGAGCTGTTTCGACAGACAGATTTGGCACCAGCTGAAACAGAACTTAATGAGTCTTATTTGTGACATGTTCAATCAGCAAATAAAGACAGAGTTTCAAAGTGTTTCGAAGGCCGCTGGTGTATAAATTTCTCTTTTATGGTGGAGAGTGTGTGAAGGACATTCCCTTTTCTCCGCTGAACATATGTGTGTTTTCTGAACGCCACATTCCCCCATTACCAAAGCACACATTTAGAGATGTGTAGGTCTCATTTTGAAAGTTTTTGTGATAACTTTTAGCACATAAAGAAAGAGTTTGATGGTCATGAATCATCCGCATACAAATGTCTTTTTTGTCAGAGTGTATCCTGAATAAAAAACAGCCCTACTAGCACCACAGATTCAGTGGAAGAGAGACATTCGACTGCTGCTTTTGATAATACTTCTCCCCGGACTCCCACACTATTAATCAAAACCGATTTACATTAAGAAAAAGCAGCAGAAGCTCTTAACGCAAATCAAATTTCACTTAAGGGGGCTAAAATTACCTTCATTAATTTGCATGAAAGTCGTGGCAGTGGTCAAGACGTCCTCATGAGATCCAATCAGAGGCTCTGATCAGGGTGTGGGTGTGGTCCTTTGTATCCCCAACAGTGTCCCATTGAACCAAGCTGCAGCGGGGCCTGAACTTGGTCATCTCACTGATATGTGATATTAGGATTCTTCTGGAGGCTGCTCCACCGGGGGGACAGAGAAAGAGAGAAGAAAAAGCAGACTTCGGATCAGCGGATCAATTTTCACAGGACTTTCTGAATATTTCATGGATGGAGCAGACACAGCAGTGGGCTACAACATGTTCAGTCACTCATGTACATCTGATTTTGAAGGCTGATTGAAGAGAGTGTGTAGGAAAGAGTCTGATTTTGAAAAAGTAAAGCCCGCTAAAACATGAGACCCCAAACTTACAATTAAAAAAGTTATAAGACGATCTGAAGCAAATATAAAAGCATTATGATGACAATATTTTAGTTTCTTCCTCCTGACGAGAACATTTTCCACCCTCACACACACACACACACCCTCACATGGTCTGTAACCTAAAGGGAAATCATGTCTGGATCATGTTTCTACTCCGAGCAAATGTGGTCAATGTAAAGCTTTGATACAGACCCAGACTTGACTTGGACAACATGCTGAAAATGCCCTTTTTTCTTTAAATAATACTCTCTATTTTCCTTTTATTTAGCATGTGACCCCGCCTTTACATTTCATGTTTTATTGATATATCCTTTTTCATTTAATTCCAACTTAATAGAGAAAGATCATAAAATCTTAGGAGCATAAATGCCACATAATTCTGGAGGAAAAACTGTAATTACGTCCTGTGTAAAACGCACGGTAAATCTATCCGGAGTATCAGCAGTGACGGTGCAATAACCCACACCTGACCCCTAAACTTCCACCCGCAGAAAGGATGTAGTTTCAGCGAGCGTCTTCAAATACTTTTCCTCTCCTCTGGTAGAGACACCAGTGAAACCAGAACCCGTCAGCCTCTGTATTTGTTTATTAAGTATGCTCTCGGACTGGCTTACTCCCAGGACGGCTGTAACTGAGAAATTTGTTCATGTAGGCATCAGGGCACGGGGCGATCAGTGGTGAATTATTTATTGAAAAAATCTCCCACTTGCTTGATGGATGAAGGAATATGTGAGGCTGCTGGGTGAGTCTGTTAGAGGAGCGATGAAAACATGGTTAACAGCCGTGCTCTGACGCTGAATTCAGAGGAAAAAAAAACTATTTCTGGAAGATAATCCTAAAAATATTGACCGTGAAAGCACAACATGATGCTTTCAATTCATTGTACATCACTTCTTTACTCTACTAAAGAATAACCAGATTCGACAGCTCCTATTTCTAAATTATTTGTCTGTTTAAGCATCAAATACTCAATTTCCTTCTTTTAGAAAACATCTGAATCCTGGATTTTAAATCAGTGCATTTCACTTGAATAAATGACTGATTCAGCTGTACACATTCCCAGTGTTAGACATCCTGGATTGCACGGACAAGAAGCAAATAAACATGAAAAAAAAAGGGGGAATGAAAAGGTCACAAGTCACTCAAATCCAGACAACTACAGTTACCATGGATATCCCTCCTGCCAGATTTAAATCACAAATGATTTGTTCGTATCAGAATAAATCACATTTGCTCAATTTTCTCTGCCCTGCTTTATTATGTTAGTTTCTCCTTGTCTGCAGCAGTGAAAGAGGAAGAGAGCGAGAGAGAGAAAGAGAGAGGTAGAGAGAGAGGTAGACGGGCAGAAGGGGCCTGGCTATTGTCATTCAATAGCCAAGCCATTTTGGAAAATCAGCGCTCTCGATTTGCTCCTGCTGCCTCCCTCTCTCTATTCCCTTATGGCTGCACTGGATGGAAGGCTTCCTTTTATAATTTCCAAGTTGAACATACACCACCAACCTCCCTACCCCCCTCCTCCTCCTCCTCTTCTTCCTCCTTTCCTCCTCCTTCTCCCCCCTCAGACTAACACACACATGTCAGAGCTCTGAGCTCTGTGATTGAACGAGTCAATGATGCAAGTTAAAAACGATGAGGGATGGACTGTTGGGATTTATTCATGAACTACTCTTAGAGGAATCTGCAGCAACAGGATGTTTCTGTATTGATGAATCTATTCGAATCTCAAAAAATGAAAAAGCAGTGAGGTTCTCAGCGGATAATTTACAGCTGGAAACATCTATATATTGGTGTTTAAGCTAAAAGCTGCTCCATTAGCAGAAGGAACTAATAATTGTGATCTATGTCTGCTCACTCAGCAAATAATCAATCATGCTTATTTAGTGTTTTAGGCGAGGATTCTGCTCAGGATTTAAGGACAAATCACAGCATCCCTTTGTCCTAAAATATGGAGGTGCACCTTTATGAGCGGTTCTATGTGAAACACATTATTTAGAGGATGAAATTATAGTTCTGATGGCATATTTCATCAGCTCCAGATCTGATTTGAATAAAATCACTCAGGCCACGGTGACGTAGTTTCCTCTAAACACTCACACGTTATCACACAAAGAGCCAAGAAAAAGAGGGAACCGTGACCCATTTTTCCATCCCGGCCTGTATTTCAAGAATAACCTACGAGACAAATGCAGTTATCAGTGAGTCAGCATCCTTTAAATAAAAAAAACACAGAGAGGGAGAGCATATGGCACGATAGATTTGCAGCAAAGACGAACAAGAAAAAATGAAGAAATCCATCCTGCATGATCTGACTTTGATTAGCAGAAATTAGACTCCTAAGAAAGCTGAATAAATATAATTATATACGGTATTTACACCGGGCTGATGGTGGGATATTTTGGTAACATTATACAAACCGTTCCTTTATTAGACTCAATGTTTATAACACTTCATAAATTTTGCTATGAATGCTCATAATCACCTATAAGGATTGTTACAAAGCCTCATAGATGCATTTATGAGGCTTTATAAGATGTGCGTATGCTGTTTTCTCAGAGGAGGGTTTATAGAAAGAGTTACAGATATTTCGGTCCATGTGAATGTGAAAAAACATCCCCACACTGCTAGTGTCACACAGGGGGGAAGTTATTCTCATCAACAGGGCATACAAATCCACTGGCTGACCACCGAACACCCTGTTTGTTTCCCGGAAAACAAAGTGACCACTGAAGGTCTGTGCCAAAGTCTGAGTGTGAGTGGAACTTGTGAATGAATGCGTGTGAGAGAAGGAGACAGAGCGAGGAAAAAGAAATGTGTGTGTGTCCGCAGAGAGAGGGGAAAAGAGTCTGAGATTTGTGTAAATTGACTCAAAGAAGAGCTTAGAAGAAGACCCTTTTTCTAACTTTGCAGAGACATATAAAAATCAGATTGTGACTCCTTGTTCTCTTTAGATTTCTCTTCATTTTGACTCTCCAATCAAGGCTGAATTTTCTGTTTCTAATCCTTCTTCTGGCAGCAGTGACTCCTCAAACTTCATTATCATTCAATAAACCCTACACTAACAAAAGCGTAACCTGTTTCCCTTCATTAGCTTGTTACTTGCATGTGAGCATCAGGTGGTGTGCCACAAGTGATGACATGACAGACAGTGCCGGAGGACACAGGGCTGAAAAATCCAGATCTGTATGCTGATTAGCACAAAGTAATGCACTAATGATGACACTGTGTGCACTCTAATGTGATAAATTGATTTCACCAGGTTAAAGCAAACCTGTACACGCATCTCCCTGCTGGGAAATGAGAGAAAACATAGTGTAAGGATACTTCGACATGTTGTAACAGCCATGCGGGAGTGTGTGATCTTCAAGGTGGACAAGTGAGGAGAAGAAAAAGGTAAAACAGGGGTCAAAAGAAGCTGTATGTACGGATTAATATAATATGGAGGCATTAGGTTTATTCTTGTGATTTATTGATTTAATCAAGCTTTATTGGACTGCAAAAGCAGCAGGTTAAAAAAATAAGATTTTTTTTGTTTGTTTTGTTTTGTTGAGAAATTTGACTCCTCATCTGGTAACAAATGTCCCTCATCAGCCTCCCTAGAGTCTCCAAAACCTACATCAGCTTTAACATCAAACGCTCTGGAGTATTTATACGCGCTTGGAGAATCCTGAGAAGTGGATGTTTAAAAAAAAAAAGATGACCAAAATGACTGCAACACGTGGCCGCGGGTCGCGTCTTTGCCTCCAGCGCGCAGTTTGTGCGCCAGGCGCCGAGCAGAATAATCTGTTTACAGTGTGCGCGTTGATGGTCATTTTTTATGATGTTGTTTAATCCACAGTGTATGGGGATGAAGGGGAGGAGGAGGGGGGGCGTCTAGCAGGAAGAAAAAAAACCCAGACAACCTGGCTCCAGCGGCCATCTCTGTAGGCTATAGGCTCCTGTGTTTGAGCAGAGAGACAGGTGTAAATCTCTCCCTGCGATCTTTACTCTGCACTCCGTGCGACACTCACCTGGAGGTAAACAAATGGTTTATGGCCGAGTAAATGAACCACTTCTCTGTGCTCGTGCACGAAAAGAAAACAGCCCGGGGGTGTTATTGCCATTGTCATGCACTGAGTTGGACCAGCGTATGGTGTTTTTGACAGAGCAGAGTTCAGGGGTAAAAACTAAATATACGTGTTGTTTAATTATTATTATTATCATAGAAAAATTATGTTTAGCCACACGATTTAAAAAGAGTAAAATTAAAAACAGAAATTAAATTCATTTAAAGCAAATAAAAGACTTTTTTTCACACCAAAAATAGAAATTACTGACTAATGCGTAAAACAAATAAATATAAACGTAGATTTAAAAATAAAACAGGCAATTATAACATACATAATGCTTTATACACAATATAAATAAAATAATTTAATTAAGCCTATTACTTGTGTTCTATTAGGTGTGTGTGTGTGTGTGTGTGTGTGTGTGTGTGTGTGTGTGTGTGTGTGTGTGTGTGTGGCGCACGCAACCCTTAAAAAAGTTGTACCAAAACAGGAGCTCAGTAATTCCGGATCAGAGTGCCACATTTGTCACCCCACGTCACGCAAAGCGTGTATATGTGTTTGTATACGGATGATTGTGTGTATTTGCGTGTGTGTATGTGTTTGCAGTGAGAGAGCAAAAAAGGGGGAGGGGTTGGGGGGGCTATTATACCAAAGTTCTGCAAAGTAGGTCTGTGCCACTCCTGATTAGGGATTGTTCCCAAAAGATGGTTGCAGACATGAGATAATGAGGTCCTGTGATAACGCGGGTCTCCTTTAAGTTTTTCCCATGAATCGAGACTGTCGCCAGTCCACAAAACGACACTGTGCATCGGCACCACGCTACTCACTTCTCATTTGGTGAGCACAAAAGCTGATCCAGCCCAAATCCGCACTAACAAACCAGGGCCCGGGAGCAAATCATATAATGTTCAATCGCGTTCACTTCGCCACTAATTAACTGGAATCCCACCTTATTCTTAAATACAGTGACCAATTAAAGCGCCATGTATGCCAAAGGTCTCCGGGGCCACCGTCGGTCGCCAGGAGCATTTGTGAAGGTCTGCGGCTTCACTATAGGCAATGGATCTTATTAGGTGGATGACCCCGGCGAGGAAAGGTTACAGACTTTTTCACTGCCCTCGGTTGGAAAACTAAGATGTTTCCTAATCGGATTTTAATTGGTTGGTTGGTCTGGTGTCCTGTCGGTCTGTGTGCAGTGGGATGGATGTTTGGATTCCACAAAAACAGGCTGATAGATTGACTAATGCAACCTTAATGCGCAGAATTATAAACTTTTATATCAACAAATAGGCCGTTGAGCTCTTTTTGATATAAATTCAACAGGTGTTTGCAGCTTTTATTCCAGATTTTTCACTTCTATTTTAGTGCAACGTTTTCATCTGCAAACCATTTGTTAAATTATCATCTTTGATGCACTTTCCAATTTTTAAAATACATTTTCTTGTAGTTGCAAAGGGGGCTTTAACCACAAATAACCATCATTTCAACATTCACCCCTCTCTAAAGGCCACAGTCGTATTTTTCCTGCTCTAAACTTTACGCAACAGTTGCCCAGTTTCATCTTCTCCCGCGTGCTTTTTCTAAGTCACTGTAAAATCCTTTAGGTTATCCACGCAGGTTCAGCTCACGTTCAACTACACCCCCCACTCATTACCCCTAAAAACGTCCTCATGCAAAACATGTGTAGGGGGCTTCAATAAATGAAAGCACAGACTCCTAACCGCATCCTACTTCTCTCTGATTTTCATGTGGTTTTCGTGTATTGTCTAACTCAGTAAATACGGCCATGCAGGCTCATATTTCAAATGTCACAAGTCCTCTGACGACTTGCAATTTGAACATGAAAAAGCAGCCAAGACAAACAGCTAGTAAAGAAAAAATAAAGGCAAAAGGTGGCTCTCAAACTGTCTGACTCGAGTCACATTTAACTCATAAGAGATCTAAAGGAGGGACTATTTTTTTTTATTCCACGTCGGCGGATGTAGCTCAGTGTGGACTGTTAAAGATGGGAAACTGGTGATTTTCTGTCAAACATAATAAACCATTAAAGGCACTGATGTATAGGCTACAGGAGGCTTTTCGGTTCACATGACCTATCCGAGCCAGCAGCACGCGCTCATATCAGTGTGCGCAAAGCCAGATAAACCTGTTGACGCACAGCATCGGTGGCAACATAAGGAGCAAAGAGACAACTTAATCTGTTTGCAGAGTAAACACAGGGGATATTATTTTAAAACGAGCCTGATCGGAGTGTAATCCAGGGGAGAGAAATCCTCGTTTGTTTTAAAAATAACATCTTTAAAAAACTGTTTAAATATAAAATGTTTGCATGGGTAAAGGGGACATGTGTCAACTCCTGGAAATTTTTAAATCTTAAAAAATAATTAAGAAAATGCATGAATATTTAAAGAAATATCTGACAGAAAGGGAATAAATGCTCCATAAACCTTTACGCACGGATCCACATCCAGATCAGTTTTACGCACACACCAACAAGGCTGTATAGAGTGGGTACAGGGGTCCATCCGTCGCCCTGGGAAGCATGTGGGAGATTCAATTGACCGCACTCAACTTTGCCGCCGCTTGAGCTCGCCGCGTACACTTCGACTTGTTGTTCTCGCTACTGACAAAACCGTTAATTCACCCAGAAACGGGAGGTCAAGTTTCAGCAGGAGCAGAAGGGGGGGGAAAGTAGCCGACAAACTCCCAGAAACGTTTGCATCAGGACTCACTGAGATCCCTGCAGAGCTACAAAACCAACAGAGTATATCAACTAAATAACCATTAAACACCTGTCGATGCCATTTATCTGTAAGAGATGAAACCAAAGTGATTCATCTTGTTTAAACTGAAATTCTTGTATTCCCTGGAAAAGTGCACGAAAACATTTACACTCTAAGAAAAGAAGTTTGAATTTTTTGATTTGTGAGCTTTTTGAGTTGATTTTTTTAACATCATTACAGCCTCAATTCAAAGCCAAAAAAAGTGGGTTTTTTTTATTACATGACATTTTGTGATCAATTTTATAGGGAAAGTACGATTAAAGAATAGTCCAGACTGATTGATTAGTATTTCTTTTCTACCTTAAACTCCAAGACCTAAGTAGTCACTGAAACATTAAGCTTTCCTACTCTTCTCCTTCTGCTACTTCAGGTTAACAACAAACCTGCAGTGGGACGAGGTACACACGGTGAAATCTGCTCTGAAAAGCCTGGATTATGGGCTCAGGCCTGAACACAGCACCTGTAGGGAGTGGCTGCAGAATTCTTCCAGAAATAACCCACAAAAAAAAGACTCATCCCAGCGAGGCAAGGTTAAACAGAGGGGATAAAAAGGACAGACCTCCTGAGGCATAAATCCAGGAAGACCTGAATCTCACCTGGAGGCAAACTGACACCTTAGTGAGTTTTACAAGGTCATTTTGGGATGCTGTTTATGCAGCAAAGTTATTTTACTGTGTTTAAGGCGCACCCTTAAAGCCATAGAAACACTTCTGATGTGGTGTATCTGTGAGTGTAACCTCCTCATTTCCCATTGAGTGCCTATCATAGTGCTTATGATGGATTTACTTTAAAGATTGCACTTGATCCGTTTACCAAAATCACCCTTCTCTATAACAAAATGTCTGATTGAAGGGCAAAAAAAAGGCATAAAAGACATGTATTCAACCATCCCATCAGTGGAAATCACTGCTGGTTTCTTTTACCCAGCCTCTCAGACTGCATGCCACTTGCTTTTCCGCCTATGGTTTTCCATTTCAAAGCCCTATGTCTCCATGTAAATACCAAAACACAGTAATCCAATCTGACCCCATTGCAAATTTTCCAGAAACTATAGGGGGGTAGTGGGGTTGACATGAGCCACACACTTATCCCACTTAACCTCCAGAGAGAGAGAGAGAGGGAGAGAGAGAGAGAGAGAGAGAGAGAGAAGCTACCCTATAACCCTTTAGCCCAAGATTCCCTCGCTTTGAGGAATGTGCTTCTTTATACCGCGCTCCTCTTAAAAGCTCCAGGTCTTGAGGTTGGACTCAACGGCCCAAAAAAAAAAAAAAGAATAAAAAGCTTCAAATTTTCGTGAGAGTTGAAACTCAAAGCAGCACAAAGCCAGCGCCAACGGTGGCAAGGGATAAATAGACAGCAGATACCCACATGAAGAGCACCATCCTGCCCACTGCAAACTGCAAATCCAAATACTTTGATTCATAGCCTCTAACTGAAGCCTCTCATGAACCAAAGGGGAACATATTTACACTGTGCTAACTTGATGACAAATAACCCCAGGATTTCTCTGCTTCCCATTTACATTTGTTTGTTTTTTCTCATGCAAAAGTAGCTTTCGTATAGTTCTTAGTGTTGGGAATATAAGGAGAGAGATGCATATCTACCCTGTTGGCTAGCAATGGCACATAAAAAGGCAAGCTAAAGACTTTTGACACATGGTCCACATCTGAGGCGTTTAGCATCTTGATCACACAGCTTGCAGCTCGCAGGGAGAGAACGCCTGACGGCTGTTTATGGGGCTGAGCAGACAAATCCCCAGCATTATGCTCTACAGGTGATGCATGCCAGTGGACTGGTTTGTTCCAGTGTACCTCCAAAAAAAAAAAAAAAGGAGCTGAACAGTTTTTGCTGTATCGTACAGCAACAGGTGATAATGAGTAGAGCTTGTTTTACGTGAAAGGCAGCCATTACGCTGGCGTTTGGTGGATTTATTGCCTGATAATTCAATGCAAACATATTTATAATCAGAAATTAACTTGGTATGATTTCTGAGCTACAGCTGAGTCCATCCTTTAATCACTACAGCATGTGAAAGACAAAAGAAACTGTAAACAGGAGGCATCCACACTGCTCTTACTACATGTTCAAAAAATATTCTTTATCTTAATCACAAGTTTAAATTTAAACTCAGATTTTTGCTCTCGATATTGCTGAGCTAAGGGAAACACACTGCATTATCGTACTTATTTATGCCATCCTTCCTTGTGTCATCTGATTGTGGTTAAAGCCCCAGTGAGGAGTTTTTGACCGGTTATGAAAAACAATGATAATTAAAAGCTAGGCTGGTTTATGACTCACAAAAGCAATCACAAACAGCAATCATAACTTTCTCATTTTGTGTATTGTAATTTTTATCGACTTTTACCACAGTGAGGGGGTTTCAGACGAGACGCGCACAAGCCTTTTAAAAACATTTCACAGTGAGAGTAATATCTTTTAGTATAAATCAAACAAGTCCAAAAAGGGTGGGAGTTTAGTCCTCTACTGGAGCTTTAAACTGCATAGTGATAAAATAATGTGGATTTAATACTTGCTCAAGACTTAACTTTGTGCAGACGGTACAATGATTTGATTACATGGGTTCATTGTTTCATGAATTTGGGGTTTATTCCTTGAATGTTTCTTTGAGTATGAAAAGATGAATGATTTGGAGCTCCCTGATTAGTTAATCTCAAATCAAACCTAAAATGTTGGTTATTAAACGTTTGTCTGCGTCCCCACCAAAGGGACTTAGCCCCCACAACCATCAAGACAGAAGCTACACCCCTGTCCCTTGAGCTTCTCTTTAATACTCACAGTTTGTTTGTATTTTGGTGCCCCCTGTGACCAAACCGGTGTGTCATATCTCCTGTGATCTTGTCTTTTAGATGCACAGGTCGTACCAGTTAATCTTGTCCTGGTTTGATTTTGTAAGTCATCGGAATCATGGGTAGAAGCTTTCCTGTGCAGATGCAGCTTAAAAGTTATGACTCTGAGTCCCCGTTGGTGACCCCCTCCTCAAACTAAATGTCTAACCATTGCCTTGTCAACCTGTAGTCAATGCACCACCATCAATAAGCACATCCCCTAATTAACTAAAATTGTTTTTCATCAATAGCTATAACAGAAATTGATGGGAGCGAGGGTTGACTTGACTCAAAATGTCAAACGGAGACGATTCATCAACAGGTACGGAGTTTATCATTCATCCTGTCGATTGATTGAGGCATGTGTGTGATTCTGGAAAGTGCATTTTACAATCTGCACCTTAATTTTGGTGCAATATCCCCTCAATAGATCAAAGTCATCAAAGTCTAAACCTTTGGAGGTAAATGGTTTGCATTTAGAAAGTCATTATGCTGTCAATTGAACATCTCCCCCTCCTCACTTTGTGTCAGGATGTCTTCTAATGAAGTTTGGAGTCATTATGCTAGTTGAATATACTAATCTTGTGATGTTTCCTTTCCCCCCTATCACGTCGTGTTAGGCTTGATGACTCTCAGCAAAGACAATCTGGTCCATTCAGGAGCGGTGCCACCAAGTCTGTCCTCGCTTATCATTAACAATCTGCAAATAAACAGGACAGCATACATTACATCACTTGCAGCTCCGTGATCAATTCCAGGAATGTCTTTGAAGCTTTGCTTAATGAACCTACACAGTGTGCCTGTTGTGTGTGTGTGTGTGAGTGAGTGTGTGTGCGTGTGTGTGTGTGTGCTGTGGAGGCACTGAGGCTTCATAACCCATGACCTTAATGCAGTTTTTCCTTATTGATATTATTGGGAATTTAGCAAAGAAGGTAACAGGAATATTCAATAAGAACATATAGTGGCTGCAGCTGAAATAAAACGCCGCAGCAACACGTGAGAGGAACTACTTTTCTTATTAAAAGCTAACATCTTTCAGCTCACTCTCTTGAGATTACCCATGAGCATAAAGTGAGTAATTCTTTTACATATCAGGCAAGTTTAAAGCTCCAATTGACTTTCCTTAAGTGCCTGAAGTCACCCATCCATGTGGAGGGAAAGATTTTAGAGCCTTTCAAGTGGAATACATTTGATTTTGATATCTCCAAAGATGTGTATAAAAAAGGGGGAAGCGCTGACAAAGTTCTCTTCATCAATCAGCAGTGTCAGCTCAGAGCTTTTTACAGCCTCCAGCAGTCCCTGAGAGCCCTAACCCTGTAAAAGTTTATATAGTGTATTGACCATTCTTCTACTTGCTTAGCTAATGAAGCCAGCTTGGCCGCAGAGACTGAAAAAAAGGCCGCCGCTGCCGCCGCAGTGTCAACACTGCTTCCTATTTGATGACACCTTCCACTAAATTGAAATGTGCTGCTAATGGGGGCGAGTGTTTAAAGAAGGAAAAGAAGCCGCAGTAATTGACACAGAGCTGACCTCAGTCACACAAAGAGAGGGGTGGCAAGGCCCCTGTGTGGGCTGCAGAAAAGGAGCGCCTTAAAACTGCAGCAGCTAGCTTGTAAAGACCTAGCTTCTGGGGTTAAGTCAGATTTTCATGCTGAAAAAGCAGATTTAGCTGAAAAAAGAGCTGAGATAATCATTCCTCCTGTAAAATAACACCATAGACATGAGTACACAGGTGTTAGAGGTGCAGTTTTCACAAATGACACCCTCATCTCGTCAGCTCTACCATAAAGAGGGCAGTGTGACATGTATAACTCGCATCATGATAGACAACAATTGAGCTGCAAAGAACAAAACATGCCTACAGCAGAGGCTCCACACTAATACTCGCATGCATGAGCAGTGCTGAATGGGGACTCAGTTGAAGTGAATGCTTCAAACTGGCTACAATATAAACCCTGAGGCATTGACTGACTATTTCAAGCTGTTAGATTCAAATTAAAAATTAAATATAACGTCAAGCCTCTAACTTGGAACAACTGTGCAACAAGTTTTTAAAAAAAGAAAAGAAAAAACACTGCTGCAAAATATTGACTGAGGCACATTGTGGACTTCTTCTATGAGAAATTGCTCTATTTAGTCCCCCCCTTCAAGGACTTTGAGATCCAGCACCACTGCCTAGGTCTCCACAGGAGACAGACAATTGACTGATAATTGATGGTCAATGTTTGTCCAAGATGGCTGAGTGGACAGGGCTCTCTAGTTTGCTCGTGAATTTGTGGTTAAATTGCGTTTTAGTGAGCACTAACGTGGCTTTGTGTAGAATACACAGCTCTTTAGACGCTCTGCAACGAGGCTTTATTATTGCACCCAACAGTGAGCCATTGCAGAGGAGTAATTGGTGGTTAAGCTTGGAATAAAATCTATATGATTTTTTAATATGCGGCTTAAGAGGAACAAAAAAAGTAGCCCAGACCCACACTGAGATCCGGGTTGTTTAAAGAGTGGGTTAAAGTAGCTGTGTTCTTTGCACGGAATTAAAATTATTTGACCAAAAATGTCACGTATAATTCTTAATGAATCCGGACAGCGCGTAAAATTGAATGGATCAGGGAAAAGTGTGCTCAAAAATACAGAAATAACCCTCAGAGATGCACGTCTGTTAGGAAGAGTTAAAAACACACAAGCACAAGTGAACGCATCCTCGTACAGTCAGAGCGATCAGACTCGAATTCAACCGAAAATTTTTAAAATGCATTTCTGAGTGAATAGCGGAAATGTGCACACAGGTTTGTCACTCCTCCAAGTGGCTTCAACTCTTCAGATTTAGCATAACTGATTTCACTCTCACTAAGTCAAATACAAATTCAGCCTGGAGGAAAAGTCGTCTGATAACAGAGTGTATGATTTAAAAATAAAAAAAATCTAAGACAGTTTAAGACAAGATACAAAATGGACGGAATAAAATTAAAAATTAAAAACAGATTCGTGCAAATATTTGTAAAGATATTATTCAGCCCTGGGATATCATGATGGTATAGTTTTGAACATGACATGAAAGTATGATCTCGCTCTTCATCCAGTCACCAGCTCAGATTTGTCTAACTTTAGAGGAGGATGTTACAGGAAATGCCGGCTGCTTTCTGGCGCTGTTAAATCTCTAAACACATCAGAAACCGTCCACCAAACACAGTCAAATCATACAAAACAATCTATTATGAATGACTATTATTCTGTGAGCAAGATTATAAGCAGAAAAAACAGTTTATGGGAAAGAGAGATGGCGGGAGAGATCACAACACTTCGCCGACAGAGCGTGCCGGCTCCCCGGCTCGGCTTGTCCGCTCTCTCCCCTCTCTCCGCTGGTTCTCTCTCACACAGAGCGGCCGATAGCGCAACTTCTCTAACGATGTTGGCATATTCACACAACAGTGACTAGAAAAGGGTGGTGTCTCACGGCAAAGCCCCCTTTTTCAGTTTCCAAACACCTTTTTATAAGTCTGAAGTCTGTCCCCTCCACCCGACCTGTCAAAACCACGCCTACGCAGCCACACAATTGGTCCGAAAGCGTCAAAGAGCCAATCAAACGGAGCGCTGCTACTCGTAACATGCAACACATCCATACAGTATGAAGCCCTATGGGCCACAGAGGCGCTAGGAAAATCACGGAGCTGGGACCTTACCACCTCTCTCTCTCTCTCTCTCTCTTTCTCTCTCTCGCTTTCTCTGGCCGTCAGCGGACTCCTTTCTCTGCACACGTCTTTCCCTGAAATGTGTGTGTGCGCGGCAGAGAGAGCAGGAATAAAGTGTGTGTGTGCGTGTGAGGGTGCATGTCCGGAGCAAGTAAAGGCAGGGGGATTATTCGGCGCTATCGAAATATTTCAACACGTCGCCCTCGCTGCAGGACTGAAGCCAATAAGAAGGAACGCATTTTAACAGGAATGCCGATATTGTAAACAGCAGCAGAGGAGAAAGAATGCGCCGCAGTCAATTAAGTGACTCACCCGAGTTGCTTTAATTCGACTAATGTCCGCAAGCCAGCGAGACGCAGAAAGGTGTCCAGCGCGTCAGCCTCTGAAGAGAATCGCTCTCGAAGCACTTGTGAAGAATAATGGAGAACATTTTTACATTTCTCCGCGCTGACTTTTGATCCAAATCCAACAAATGACTGTAGAGATACTCAACAACCTCTGAAAAAGATCTGGATTCTTATATCTGCAGTTTTTACAGGAGGAATTTCACAGCTGTTCAACATTGATTTTCCCTCTCTTTTTTTGTGTTTATTGTGTTTACTCCTCTCGGGCGCAGTGTTCACTCTCAAATCAGACCAGCCGTCTCTCCATTTGTTTGCCTGCTCTTGAATGAACTTCCTGATGAGAGATCCAGTCATACAGGGATCAAGTATGGCATATCATCCGTTTATACCTCACCGGGGTCCGGAATTTGCCATGAGTGCAATGCTGGGGCACCAGCCTCCGTTCTTCCCGGCCCTGGCTCTGCCTCCCAGCGGCTCTCTGTCTCTGCCGGGCGCGCTGGGGAAGCCGATCATGGACCAGCTGATGGGAGCCGCGGAGACCGGCCTGCACTTCTCCTCGCTGGGGCACCAGGCTGCCGCTCACCTCAGGCCTCTAAAGACTCTGGAGCCTGAAGAGGAGGTGGAAGACGACCCCAAAGTTCATCTGGAAGCCAAGGAGTTGTGGGAACTTTTCCACAAGAGAGGCACGGAGATGGTGATCACGAAATCCGGAAGGTAAAATTCATTTTGTTGTAAACAAAACGATCCAACATGCTGAAGCCAGTTGAATATATTGACAAATTACCCTGGTGAAGTTGATAAATTCTTATTATAATACACAGATCTACTGTGTTCTGTACTCTACCTGTATCACTTGGCCATGTGTCCATATTTACTGTAGATTATGTTTCTATTCCACATCCTTAAACCATCATATCAGTCTGTTTGTAGATCCACTAATTCAACAAACATTACAGCAATTTATCTGTTGATTTTCCTGCAAATTTGACATTTGTTCAAGTGTGATACGTCCAGTAGAAAACCTGACACTTAACATCCACAACCTGGATAAATATTAAAGCTTAAAAAGGGACAAAATCTGAGAGGAAAATCCTGTTAGTTTGCGCAACATGTCGGCTAAACTTTGCTCAGTGCTAAACCCAATTTGCTCAACAAATATGTTGTTAAATATGAAGGAAAAAAAACTTGAGCTTTAAACTATTTTGTGAAATAAAAATAGAGCTGGTGTGTTTATTAAGAAGACGCAGGGGTCTGTATTAGCCTGTATTCCCTTATTTAAAAATGACTGTATTATAATCGTATTGTTTGTGAAAACTTTGCATTGACGGATTACTCCATTGAAATGTCAACTTTGAGTGTGTGGAGCTCTGGCTAAATTATTGACAGTGACAGTAGGCTATACACAAAGATGGCTGCTCTGTGTACCTCTAAGTGTGTGTGTGTGAGTGTGTGTGTGTGTGTGTTTGAAGGCCTGTGGAGGCATTAAAAATCAAGACACAATGTAAACAGTGTTGACGTGTCATAATAGCCAAAGAATAGGTTTATTTTAATAGGAGATATCAGCTACACGTCTCTGGTTATTTGTAGGCCACAACAAGAGACGGTATGACACCTTTGTAATATCCAAAGATAAGCTAAGAATGATTTAGCCCAACCATTCCCGCCATTTAAGCCTCTTTTTATTCAGCTTTATCACTGCTCATTGTTTGTTTTTCTTCTCTCCTTAGACGGATGTTCCCGCCTTTCAAAGTAAGGTGCACCGGTCTGGACAAAAAGGCCAAATACATTCTCTTGATGGACATTGTTGCAGCCGACGACTGCAGGTACAAGTTCCATAACTCGCGCTGGATGGTGGCCGGGAAGGCCGACCCCGAAATGCCAAAGAGGATGTACATTCACCCGGACAGTCCGGCTACTGGCGAACAGTGGATGTCAAAAGTGGTCAATTTCCACAAACTCAAGCTGACGAACAACATCTCCGACAAGCATGGATTTGTAAGTTCAACTAATGTATGTCCATTTTCCTATTTATCAAATTACCCCTTTTAGTTAGCCGAATGTGTTGACTTTTAAATGTTTGATTTTTGTTTGTGTTTTAATTTTAATTCAACCACACGAGGTTTATGAATAATGTGTGTGTGCCATAGCAGACGGCAGAAAATTACAGAGCGTGTAAATGTCATTATGTTGACATTATCTCATTTATAATGGTTTGTTTTTATTATCTGGCAATATGATCGAGTCTTTATCTTAATTTAAATCCCATGAGTGAAATGGATTTATTGAGTAGATTATGAAGTTATTCCAGATATTTTAGACACGTGTTTGAAATTTTTTTTAATTTCTATAAAACGTTTTATTTACAAACCTCAGTGTCTCCAAATGATTTCTAATTCAGTGGTTGTTTTTTTTTTTTTAAAGAAATATTACGGTTTTATTCTGTCAACACGATCACAAATGCAACACGAATAGAGAGCTAATCTTTTTCATTTTTTTCCTGTGATTGTTTGCAGACCATACTAAACTCCATGCACAAATATCAGCCTCGTTTTCACATCGTGAGGGCCAACGACATCCTCAAACTCCCCTACAGCACCTTCAGGACTTACGTCTTTCCCGAAACGGATTTCATAGCCGTGACTGCTTATCAAAACGATAAGGTAAGCACAAATAGAGCTCGTGGGCTGTCTGTGTTACATCCTCGATATTTACTTATGCGCTCTTGCTCGTCCTTTCGCCCCTGCTTTGCCATGCGCGCCTCTGCGCCTCTACTCCCCGTGTCGCTCGCGCTCTGTACCATTTTGTCATCATGAAATATGAAAGACGTCATATTAGCTTGAGCTCGTGAGAGTGGGGGATCACAGTGTGGGGGGGAAAGGGGACCATATTCACCCACTCGTGGAAGTACAGTAATAATTCGGAGGAATGTTATACAGGTTGTCTTCCTTACATTTAATCACGTGGAAAGGATTTGGCACAAACCCAGGCTCTCTCTCTTCCCCCTTTCTCTCTCTCTCTCTCTCTCTCCTTTCTCTGCGGACGTGTGTGTGTGTGTATGTGAAAAGATTGGGGGTTGAGAAATGAGGAAAAAGAAGAGGGGTGATACATGCGGCTGAATGGAGAAAATGGACAGGGAGAGAGAGAGAGGGGACGTTTTGTGTCAGGCTGTGCTGCATGCAAACTCTTCACACTCTAGATTTAAAAAAAATAAAAATACTGCAACTCGTCTCCACAACTCTTTGATATGTGAATAACTGGCATCCACACACCCTCCTCCTCCTCCTCCCCCTTGTGTGTGGTTGTTACACTGCCTGAATCTTAAAGGAAGTGGTTGGAGAGTGAAGTTTTTGAAAGTTTACGCAGAAAAGCAGAAGATTTTAGCGTGGAAAAGTGTGCCAATGAGAGCCAATGCGCATGTGTTGTGTTGTGTGTGATTTTTACCTGCTACACAAACAAAATATGGAGGACATAATTACCCCCATGTATTGCTAACTCTCAATTATGAGCCCTGGCTTGACTCTTCTAAACTGAGAGAGATAAATTAAATGTTAGTCCCATGAATTCACACTTCATTTCAATGATTTCAGATAACCCAGCTGAAAATTGACCACAATCCATTCGCCAAAGGATTCCGTGATACTGGCAATGGAAGACGAGAAAAGAGGTAAGACTGAAGGGGAAAGTGTGTTGCTAAAACAGTGGAAATAATCTTCAGATGTCTCGGGGGTTTAGACGAGAAGTGGATTAATCCCGCGTTAAAGCCTGCATATTAACCCACTGGGGGTCCGGATCTTTACAGTTTCTGATCAAATAGCTTAACAGGCTGGAGACCACTGTTACTGTTCAGACCTGAGAAACACAAACCAGATCAAGGTTTTATTAAAACTCATTTTTACTCCTTTCTTTTTCTAATCAGCCTGTTATTTTGAATCCTTCTTTATTCCGTATCGTAGACATAATCCCAATCTAGATGTTATATTCTCACCTGCCATAGGTGTGTCACTCTACCGCACCTTTATTATGTCCATTGTCAGGTCTTAATCTTTCACACCGTTGTTGGTGCTGTTGTCACTGTGTCTAACCTGTAAGCTGTGATTTACGCACTGCACTAACCAGGTCTCCACTTTGCGCGCAGGAAACAGCTGGCCCTGCAGTCCATGCGCTCGTACGAGGAGCAGCAGAAAAAGGAGAACGGCGCTTCAGACGACTCCTCTGGAGAGCAGGCCTCCTTTAAGTGCTTCGGCCAGGCCTCGTCTCCTGCCGTGTCTACCGTGGGCCCCCCACACCTTAAAGGTAGGCCGAGGGACCCCACAGTCAGTCACACATGCTCCAATCACAAGTGGTGCGGAAAGTCGTAAAATATCAATGGTGGCAAAAATTTGTGCAGCGTGAAGCGGAGAATATGACTGGATTTTGTAAATTGCGGAGACGAGAGCTCAAATTTGGCTTTAATTAGAGGCTAACAATTAACACTGAGCACAATGGGATTATAAACTACACTCCTGCATATGTTGAATGGCTGCAAAATTAACACAGTCAGTAATTGGTCAGGTTATTTGTGTTGACCAGAGGCTAAATGCCAATCTAGCCTAAATTGTAAACTATTAATCTGAAAAAAATAAATAAATAAATAAAAGCTGATTTTTTAAAAAGCTTTCTGCAGCAAGCATCCAAACATGACTGGATGAAACACTACTGATACCCACACGAATCAACAGTCCACAGAAATTCACGGTCTTCCTTTCTCTGACAGATTTCTGTGACAGTGAAGAGGACAGTGACGACGAGAGCAAAGATGGACATCTCAGAGACGGTCCGGACTCCAGCAAGATTTCCACGACCACGGAGGACGGCAAGGACCACGAGGCGAGCCCCGCCAAAGGGCATGCCTTCAGTAACAGTGACACTACAAGCAGGAGCAAGGACAACAGCGCGAGGACTGAGAAAAGCCAGGCGGACTCGCGACAGAGCCCCATCACGCTCATCTCCAGCACCACGCGCTCTGGAGAGGAGCTGAAGAGCCCGAGCGTGGAGCAGCCCAAAGCGGACGAGTGCAGGCCTATGGGCAAAGACAGTTTCATGCCTTTGACTGTGCAGACTGACAGCCCGCATATAGGCCACGGACACTTGCATAATTTCGGATTTCCAACTGGTCTTACGGGACAGCAGTTTTTCAATCACCTCGGGAGCGCGCACCCGTTTCTCTTGCACCCCAGTCAATTCAACATGGGAGGCGCGTTCTCAAACATGGCCGCAGGCATGGGGCCACTATTGGCAGCTGTGTCCACGGGAGGGGTGAGCACCATGGACACGACAAGCATGGCATCACCCTCGCAAAGCTTGACGGGAGCGCCGGGCCTGCCCTTTCATCTGCAGCAACATGTCTTGGCATCACAGGTAAAACCTGTTTTCTTTGGCCTGCACGCTCCCTCCACAGCACATGTTGGTGTTACATTACAGCAGACTACGGGCCTTGGAGGCCTGCTTGTTTCATTTAATGTGTCAAAAATTTAATTATCTTCAGTGCTCTCCTCATCATATCCATGTAGGAGTTTTTTCTGTGAGAAAGAGAGATTGTTTGTGTGCGCGTCTACGTGTTTGTGTGCGGCTTTTGCGCACGGTTGTTGGCTATGTTTTGCTGCCAAATGGGCTAATACTCAGAATAGACCCGAGCAATAGTATTATGGCTGACTCTGCCTTTAGTAGACTGTAAAACACCCCCGTCTTTCTCATGTTATTTTTCATATTAGCCTAACTAGCATGAATTAAAAGAAGCAGACTGAGAGACAGAGTAGACCACCTCGGTACAGCTTGAGGTGTTGGACAATATTTTGACATGAGCTCACTTAATCCAAAACGGCGATAATCAAAGTTCCTGAACAGCTCGGATACATTATCTTTTAGTACTTGGCATTTGTGTCTTTTTATTATCAGAACCTTGCCTTCGTGTGTTACAGCATTAGGCTGGATTTTTATCTGTGCACCAAGACTGCCTACTTGTTTGGTTGTAAAGCTTTACTCCATATTTAGGAGCTGGATGTAAAATTTCTGGGTGAATGGAGACTCTGATTCTGTGCTGGCTACATCAGATTTTGGATCAAGTTTTGTTGACCAAAAGCCAAGTGTCAGACATGGCCCGAAGCTTTCAAACAAAGCATTACCAACGCGTAAGAATTGAGGATAATAATCTTAACTTCAGACAGTAAAGGAAGAAGTTGACGCTGATTTTGCAGATTTATTTCCCTGTGTTCTTCAGTTTTCCAGAAAATAAGAAACTTGGTGAAAAGTGCATCAATACGCGTGATCCACTCGCTTATTTTTGCTCGTATTTTTGCTCCCATGTGCAGACTAAATGTTTAAATTGTGTATCAACACCAGCCCCGTGCCTCACACTCAGTTTGTCTATTTCTCCGCAGGGCCTCGCCATGTCTCCCTTCGGCAGTCTGTTCCCATACCCGTACACGTACATGGCAGCAGCCGCGGCAGCCTCCTCCGCTGCCTCCTCTTCGGTGCACCGGCACCCCTTCCTGAACGCAGTGCGGCCCCGACTCAGGTACAGCCCCTACTCCCTCCCCATGACAGTACCGGACAGCACCCTGCTCACAACCGCCCTCCCCCACATGGCCGGCAGCGGGACCGAGCTGAAGGGAGACGGGATAGTCTCCGCGAGCCCCGTGTCCGGTGTCACCCTGGACTCCACGTCAGAGGTGACCAGCCACTCGTCCACCATTTCCTCTGGCTCGGTTTCCATGTCCCCAAAAACTTGCACCGCGGAGAAGGACGCCGCAAACGAGCTGCAGAGCATCCAACGCCTGGTCAGCGGACTGGACTCGAACCAGGACAGGCCAAGAAGCGGGTCCCCTTAGGATTTTCATTTTTCCTTTTGTTATTGAACACACCACCTGCTTTTCGTTTTGTTGTTGTCCTGAAAAGTGAAACGTGTTGACGGTGATGAAGACACTCTGAGTAGGCGGACACCCTCGTAGATTCATGATTCAGATTGTGAAGAGGAAAAAAGAGGAACCTTTGGACGTGTTAGTTCTGAAATGCACTTTGGTTAATACACATCTGATATGTATATTTTTCTTTTTTTTTTTTTGTTTAGTTAAATTAAACAACACTTTTATCCTGTCATTTGAATACCGTACAAGTATTGAAACTGAAAAGTTGGCATGGGTGTGACTTACAGATTTTTAGGAGAAGTTGCTGCTGTGTCCTAACTCCTAAAAACGTTCATGTGCACGAGGAGAAATGTGGTTTAATATGCACTCTGAATCAATTGGGTTTATTTGAATTGAATACCGTTTCACCTACCTTTGAAAGACTGCTGTATTTTCGTTTTACACTTATTCTTGGCCAAAAGTTGCATGCCCCTTTAAAGCAACAAATGTTATTTAACACTAAAAAACTAAAAGACATTTTTTTAAAATATTTTCTCCAAAGTATTATGGTCCTACTTTTTTCTTATATCTATCCTCAATTAGGTCATCAAACTCTTAAAGTAAATTCCTTAAATTCATGCCTTTTTTAAATCAGATTATCGCCCTGGTGCTGCGTAAAAACTTCGAACCGTGCATGCGCAATTCAGCCCAAATGTCCAGCAGGCAAAGGGAAGCGGGAATTTAAATATTGATGAATTGAAAGGTATTGATTCAAAGGTGTAAATAGGGATATATAAAATATTTATGTAATTATTTCATATTGTTATTGCGTGTAAATACAACGGAGTAGTTTGTTTTTAGGAATCTGTTTAATTTATTGTCGATATACATGTGTAAAGATAGTTTGTGGGCTATTATTCCTTTGTTGCCATCTACATTTATACACCCTCTCCCCCTTAAAATATGGACTTTATCCCCCCTTCCTTCAAATATCCACTGAGCTAGTTATTCACACTCACGTGCCATTGTAATTTTCATTTTTGTTGTCCCCTGTGTGAAGTGCTACTGTTTCAAAACGAATGATAAAAGCGACGACGCACTGCACCAATGGCTTGAGAGTTTGTTTGTTTGTTTGTTTGTTTCGAGAAAAAGAAAAAAGAAGTGTTGTTCAAGTGTGAAAAAAAGTGGACTAATTTTTTTTTTCAGTTGTTCAAAATCATTTTGGCGAAGCTGAACGTAAAAGTGCCGCATACTCGAAAAGATGAAGGTTTCTGTTTTTTTGTGTTTTCTTATGTTGTCAATGGGTTGTGTTGGAGTTATGTCTAGTTTACAACATCGACATCGTGTTCTTGAAAGTTTCAATAAAATATTGAAATGCCGTTTTTATTGTAGTGTGTCCCTCACTATTGCAAAATAAGTTTAAAACGATCAAACCATGAGAAAGTGAAGTACGTGCAGCACAGTACGTGGCATCCTCGAGTCTTGTGCTTTTTCCTGGTATGGAGGTTTCAGTACACGCACACAGAGATAGCCTATCCCCGTTCAAAGGCAGCAATTAAGATAATTCAGGTCGAAGCAGAGACCTCCAAAGACCCTCTCGACTCCAGAGATCATACCTGGGATTCCTACCTGCGCCAGAGGCTGCGCACTGTAGCCAACTCTGCGCTTTATTGGTCTCATTGGCTTCAACTCTGATGTTGAACACCAGCCACAAGTTCCTTCCTGACACCTCACAGCAGGACTACTCCTTATTCTATGTTACATTAACCTAAATACACCTAAAACAAACAGACCACACTGTAATCTGAGGTCAACCCAGCGTGAAGCCATACTTCCACATTGTCCCTGAATGCATCACCACAATGTGTTGAGAGTTTTCCTGAGCGGTGACATCAACTCCCGACGGGCCAGCATCGCCTACCTCCCTACCTACCGCAGAAGTGTCACACACAGGCCAGAGGTAAACCTGCAAAGATAATGAACCCCCCTGATTACCCTCTCTATTGCACCTCCAGTCAGGAGTTTATCAACTTCATATCTTTATTTGTATATCGTCTGGTTAATGTGTAGCAGGCCTGGCGCTGGTGAATAGGTGTAAACATGATACTAGCTGTCTCAATTGCTCTGTCTTATTGCTCACCTGGCGCCTTCGATGGTCATATCTTCCATTTTATTGCACGGAAGGCGACAATGCGTCTGTAATCAAGGCGAGGCACGACGCCCCCAAGCGGCGACGGGGGCGGCTTCAATAACAGCAAACAGAGCCAAACAAATCAAGAATGAAACCCTGAGTGAGATCAGAGTCAGAGAGCTGATAAGGACGGTCTGACCTGGTCATACACCCTCTGGAAAACACTTTAATAAGCCTTATACTGTATAAAGCAAATAAATTAAGAGAAATTAATTTTCTTCCATATATTTTGAGGCTCAAAATCACTGCAAGGGTCTATCTATATTAAAATCTGTCCCTGCGCGTGTAATTACCGGATCCCACAGGTTGGACTGTATTGATATTAAAGGAAAAAGTGATGATATAATCTCTTTTGGTAATAAATGAAGGAAGAGACAGCAAAGACAGTTCACAGGCACTACCAAGTCATGAAAAAGAAATGCAGTTTATGTGAAATATACGTATTCTCATAAAGTTTGATGGTTAAAATAAACACCATATTGACAGTTACACAGCCAAGCAGGCTTTACTTTAAGAGAAAGTAATAAGATGGTAAATAAAACATTTGCAGAATAGAAATGAAGCCGCATGTTTTGGTCTGTACACCTTCATTTAAGTATTTTAACGGAGTTGTTGCAAGTTAGAAAAATTCTTGAATATTTGCTGCGTCAAGTCTCCTCCCACCCTGCTAATCAGGGAGAAAACTAGATAAAAAAAATTATAACTTTTTGATCCTGTATCGTCTTCACATATTCATGGCAGGTCTGTTTCTTTCTGGTAGAGTAAGAGACTCCTGTATTATCTCTGCACAGGAGCGTCGATCTGCTGAGGTTTGGCAAACAGGTTGCTCTCCAACTTTGAAACCATATCACGGGACAGTTGCGCCATCTGCTGGCGGTAAAACAGAAGTACCTGGGGAGACTTCATCTGCCTTTTGTGCTTTTTTTTCCCCAAAGTTTTTGTTTTTGGTCCCCTAAGCCAGAGCCGGACCAAGTCTCAATGGGGCCCTAGGCAAATTTTGATTTTGGGGCCCTCTATTTCTGCCAATAATATTGATCATTGATCATTCACACACCTTTACAAATCTCTTTGATTAACAGTCCCTGACATGCAAACATACCTCTATCTTGGCGTTTTTTCCTCTTTCTTCCTCTGTTTTTTCTCTGCTCCTGAAGGATATGTCCTTTTTTTGCAACATTGTTTTGCCCCACAACTACCTGCGCTTTGGATGCTCAGTGCACATTGCACAACAGACGGCACATAATGGTCACGGAGCTTTGACATTAGGGCCCGACCGATTTATTGGCGAGCCGATTAAATTGGCCAATTTTAGCCGTTTGAGACTAACCGGTAATCGGACAAAACTAGCCGATTTTCGCCGATATTTTCAGAAATAAAATGCAGAGATAAGATTCGGTTTTACTTCGAAAATTTTCCTTCATTTGAAAAGTTCCCTTACTTATCCTGTAGATGGCAAAGTGACCTCATGACAATCTTCATCCACTAACTACCTCGCAGCACAGCAGAGTGACGGATCTGCAGCAGGCAGCTCTGGGACACACGGAGGAGAGTGGTCCGTCTCAATGGTAAATAAACCAGTTTGTGAAATACACAATAAGTCAACAAGTTTCAGTTCAACCCACTTCACGATGTTCCCCGCTGTGCTGGCAAAAGTACTTGCTATGCAAGCTAAAGTTAGAGTTATCCACCTGCTATTAGCCTTGCTACACTGTTAGCCTTGCCAGTAACGGTAGAATAAACAACAGTACACATTATGTGATTGAGCTACTTCTCTTACTGAGGCAGCCGCATGTCTTCAGAGACCGGACCGGAAATGAGTAACGTGAGTTAAAGTTATGGTCTACCATTTGAAAGCTTGGTACTTAAAAATAACACAGTTTATAAGGCCGTGATGGTCCTATGGTCCGATCTACAAAGATCAAAAAGAACGAAAAAAATCCATTCAGTATATCAGCTGCAAAAAGGCATAATAATTTATCAATCCGAACCGCAGTAACCCCAGCGGCTAGTTGGAAACGCTTTTCCGAGTTTGATCAGTCTGTCTTCCTGTCGGTGTGTATATGTATATAGTATATGTACAGTATACAGTAAACTGTAGATATCTACAGTATATTTATTTTTTATAACTTCATAAAAAAAATTAAAATTTGGCCGATTAACCCCCCCCCCCCCCCCCCCCAATAATCGGTATCGGCATCAGCCCATATTGGTCGGGCCCTATTTGGCATATCATTTAGTTTATTTTACTTTTACAATAATATATATTTGATCATACAGAAAGCATCACTCATACATGCCAAAAATAAAAAAATATTTAAATTATATATATATATATATATATATATATATATATATATATATATATATATATATATATATATATATATATATATATATATATATATATATATATATATATATATTTTTTTTTTTTTATTTATTATTATTGCTCTTGGGGGCCCCCTATTGTCCGCGGGGCCCTAAGCAGGAGCTGAGTTCACTTATTCCTCTGCCCTCAGTAAACAGATTACTTCAATAACTGCGCATCTATTATATTTATGAAAATTTTAGAGCTAAGGAGTTCTTAGCTTGCACTGAAACAGAGTGAATTGATCACTAATGTTTGTAAACAATCAGTATTTACATTTGAATAGAAAGGAATAATAATAACAATAATACATTTCATTTATAACGCACTTTTACAGGTGCTTAAAGATGCTTTATGTTGAGTAATAAGACCTACAGTGTAGAAGGTTAAAAAAGACACAATATGAAAAGACAACAAAAGAAGAGTTCACAGGTTAAAAGCCACCTAAAAAAGGTGTCTTTTTAGGAGTGATTTAAAAGTATGGGGGTCTGTACAGTCTTAGATGGGTTTTGGGAGTGAATTCCAGAGGGTGGGGGCAGCAGCAGAGAAGGCTCTGTCCCCCCCAAGTTCAGTAGGGCAACAAGATTTCCCTCTGAGGATCGGCGGGCAGCCGGGCACAGGAGGGGGTGTAGTGGTGGAGCAGGTCTGTGAGGTAGGTGAGGGCCAGGTTGTTAAGTGATTTGTGGGTGAGCAGGAGGATTTTCTCAATGAGTGATAACTTGGACAGCAGTATGACGTTTTTGTTGTCTTTTTTCACTTTATTTTTCTGTATAACTTGTAAACTTAAAAGGAAGTTTTAGCATCTGATTCAGAAAGAGTTTTTTGATAGCTTGCTATTAAAATCACTCACGTCTATAAAGAAAAATATTGAACTTAAACCAAATTAAACATGACTACGTTTTCCTAAACAGAGATTCAGGTCTGAATCTACACAGAGGCCTCATCGACTTATCTCCAATCTCTGCACAAGTGTCAGTTTTCTCAGCAGCAGATGGCCAACAAATCCTTGAAGAAGCCTCAGTGTCCCCTGCCATCGTCCTTTTTTCTCAGAGGAGTGTTAAACTAAGTAAAGGGGGAGTCTACATTGAAGGAAAACAGCATCTGATGGAGCTGTTTTGATTGTTTGAAACACCAAGTTGCATTCCACGAATGTGTTTCGACATGATCTCTGATTGAAGGAGTTCATGGGGATCATAAATTACTACTGCAATAGCAGGCGTGTCTGTCTGTCTGCCTGCGTGTGAGTGTGTGTGTGTGTGAGGATGTTCAGCATGAGTGTCGTGTCTATGTACGGTGACTTTCATCCGCCTCATAAATATATTTAAACAATATATTAAATGCAGTGATATTAATTGGTATCATAAAAATTGATCACTGCAACACTTATAAAAGTATGTGGAGAGGTTGTAAAATAACCAAAGGTGCATCCAGGAGAGTTTCCGTCACACGCGGTTTGACAGTGTCGTGTCAGGGCTGGAAACTGAATAATTGTGAAGAACAAATTTGAGTTATAGTTCCTATTGTAAGTTTATAATTGCAGTATTAACGTTTTTATTCACTGATTGTTATAATCTGCAGGTGTGCCAGTGTGCAACAGTAGTCTGCCAACAATGTATTGTCAAACATATTCTTGTCATTAGTCAGGAGGAGCATCATGACAATGACTTTCCTGGTACTTCATTTAAACTGTATAAACACACGAGACTTAGGAACAGCCTCTCACATGTCTTCATGAGCGTGTCCTGGTGATTGCAGTCAGAAAACGAATGTGAGCTTATTGAGGTTCAAGAAAAATAGCTGCATCAATTAGACGTCAGTACACACAT